AAGAGAAAGGTAATAAAAGGAATGTTTAGTATATAAATATTTAATTTAAATCCTTAAAAACACACATAATTACTAAAAACTGTACCCTAAACCCTCTTCAAACATTAGAAACCCAATAAAGCCATTAATATGATTGATTTCAAATCCATTTTACACACTCACTCGCAGTAAATTTGTTTGTGGCAAGGACCTGTTGTTCTACGGACACATTTGACTCCATATCCTGGCAATTTGGCCCCGATTTCATGCTCTTTGTGGTTGCTCCTTTTCCAGCTTCTGCTACTCCTCCTATATATAGGTTTTTCCTCTTTTTTTTGTAATTCGTGCACAGTTCACAGAATTTTGTGGAGAGGCTGGTTGGTGTCCTTCTTTGGCAGGCGGCACACTGTAAGGACCCTGAGTGCATATGTTTTAAGGATGGATGCGCTCGTTTGTTGCAGTTGCCTGTCATTTTTATAGGTTTGTTTGCCTGCCGAACCGACGACATTTGTAGGTGCTTTTATTAGCCACTGTGTCGCATGTGGAACGGAGAGTTATGGCCAGCATGTGAGCCATTATGATTTGTTTTTGCGGTTCTCAATGCTGCAAAAAAAAAAGGAAAATCAAAGTATTGGAATTGCAAATAGAGAAAGTTTTTAAGGAAAATAGGAATATTTTCTTGCTAAAGTTTTATTATAATTTATATTTATTTCCCTTGATTAAAGCTCATTCTCTTTGGCTTCGAAATTAATTAAATTAGGCGCCCCGATAAGCTCATATCATTTATTTTATTTGTGCTCGACCCCTACCCGCTCTCGTATAATTATAATCCAATAAAATAATAAACATATCGCCTCGTTCATCGTTCAATTTACTTTCACACTTTCACCAGCAGCTAGAAGTTTTCCTTGTGTCACGCCAACTTAACTAAATTAAGCCCCACCACAAGCTTTGTAGAGGGGGATCGTTTCTAACCCCCCGCTGCCTTTCGCACTTTTCTCAATTGTTTTTCGTTATTGCTTTCCGTTATTATATTTTGATAACATGATTTTGTTTACACGACAAATACTCACGTAGCAATGTTTTACTGTTATTGTTTCTGATACGAAACTCTCACCTCTTTACCCGGCTCCACCTTCGTCGTTTTCCGTTTTCCACTCGACTGGAGCTTTTCTATTAGTCAGAATCATGGCTTGGCCACGTACGTAGACCCCTTCCCTGCCCCTTACTTTTTTTCCCGATTTTCAAACACGTACCTGGGGCCACAAATTTTCCCATTAAAAACGCAAAAGGCCGATGCATAAATGATTGATACCAAGTTGATATTTTACTATCAGTGGAAGGGGGTTAAAGGGGGTTCAAAGGTGAGCACTTCCGTCCCTCGACCCAGAATTGAGCAATTCATTCACATATACCCATCCATATCCATCCATTCATAACCACGAATTATAGTTTATTGTCGTCGTAAAACGCTCGCATCGGGCTTAGCCAGTGGCCATTTGGCACACCTTTTGGCTGAGAACTACTTATTTAGAGTTCGCAAAAGCCTTCGATTAGCCAAATTGACTAGTTGCGTTCGAGCGAAAGGAACTCAGTCATTATCCAGCCATTCGGATGGCTCCTCGATGGATAAGTCTTCCATTCATTAAGAAACTTGAGGCGTCTGTTGTCGTCTCCGACGGCCAGACGTTCGGTTTCCGCTGTGTGCCACATTATTCTTCTCCCCACCCACAGACTTAATAGGAGGGATTGCCTATAATAAACAGGAAAATATGTCATATGAATAAGAAAATATTTAAATAAATTTTTAATAAATATGCAATTAAAAAATTTTTTTTTATATTTAGGAAGTACCTATTAATTTTTAGGGATTTTTGTACTTGTAGTTAATTTATTAATTATTTATTTTCTATAAATCGTGACTCGTTTATATGCCGGATAATAAATACTTTGTTTGTTTTTAAGACAAGTACACTAGGTTGTTTAAACAATCTGTTTAGTTTACAAAACTGATTCCCTGTATCACTGAATTCCGACTTGAGAATTCTAGTGTGAAATTTTGAATATATATATTAAATATTTTATATTTTTTAAAGAATTTAAATATAGAATCTCTTCCCTGTACTTCAATTTTGTCCATACGTTTCAACATACAATCTGTTTCGGTTCAAAAACGAAGCTCAGACATTTTCCCTGTGTCACTGAATTCCGACTTGAGAATTTTAGTGCATTTTTCGCAACAATTTGGAAAGGAATACATTGAAAAACTCATAAGAAGACGTTGCATTTTCGACAATGATAATTTATGAAGATACTTAGAGTATAAAACTTAAATATATTGAAATTTAGAATATATATTTTTTATATTTTATATTTTTAAAGACGCATCTCGTATATAGATGCTTCCCTGTACTTTGATTTTGTCCATACGTTTCAACATACATATATTAATTGATATTGTTTTCGTGTAGCTTAAGGGGTACCAGAGACCCCACATAGTAGCTGTGGAGAAACGTTATGTGAATTTCAATTTGCTGGTGTGGGCTTTCTTACGTTACTTGGCGTTACGTAGTTGTAGCTGCTGCTGACGCGTTACCAGCAACGTGACAATGCATGAAAGAAGGAATGGCTAAGCCAACTTTTTATTTTTATTTTTATTTTTTTTTGTGACGCACATTTAAGCGGAATCCGTGGGGTCCTGGGGGTCAGAAGGACATTGTCGTTTTCAATGCACCTGCCCCGGATCCACATCCCCATCCGCATCCGTATCCGCATCCTGTGCTGCATCCTTTATGGCACACCCAGTGCACTTGCTGCGCTGCGGAAGTTAGGTATAAAAAAAAGGGAAAATAAAGAAAAAATAATAAATAAAATGGCAGAAGCATACAAAATGCTGCCGCAGGCCATTCTCCTGTTGTTATTCCAAGTCCAAGGAACAACAAGGGCGGATCGCATTGATAAGCTTCCGTTTAAGCCACGACATGTGGTTACTTTAGTGTTACTTTTGTGGTCGTTTAAAAGCTGCTCCTTCTGCTGAATTTCAAATGGAAATGGAAAGGAATCTCTCTCAGCTTTTATTCAGCAATCAAGCTCCAAAGTACGCTTCAGCTTTTATTGGGTTTCCGAAGGGAAAATAATTAAAAGACTCGATGGCTGTTGTTTGATTGTGAAATAAAAAACAAATGTAGAAAATTGGAAGTCGTAAAAAACTGTACCTCAAAGAACTTTCGTCTGCCATAAGTTCAAGTAACGTTCCGAAGCCAAATCAGATTCCGGATTGTGTGCATTTATATGCACCGCACACAGCTACTTTTCAGCACCTAAACGCCAAGTAGATAGGCCATTCATCATTCGGAATAAATCCCAACTAATCGCCACACATCACGTTCCCCATAAGAATGCCAATGGCCTCTATCGCAACTTTTGGCTAACGATTCTTTTCATGAAATTTGCAAATCGTTTGCCCATTCAAAAGTTTGTATTTTCGTTGTTGTTTTTTTTATCGTATTTAAGGCGAAAAATCGAAAAGTTGTCGATTTTGTAAGGGGAAAAGAAGGGCTAGGAAAAACTGTTGGTGGTGCGAGTGTGACAATTTTCCCGTGTGTGTGTGTGGGGAAAATGAAAGAGAAAATTTAATTTGCAGGTCACGTAATGTGCTGGTGTGTGTGTCAAGTTTGTCAAGTGTGTGGATGTGTGTTAGTTAATAAATATGCGCGCACGCGATGTAAAAATATGTAAATCCAGAGCCAACATACACATATGGCCAGTGCGAATCGAATGGAGAATCGAATCGAGTTTCGGGCTCTATTTGCCTTCTGTTTTCGCACTTTACCGTTAAGAGACCGCTGTTGTTTCGGCTGTGACCCAATATATATACATACTTAACGCTATGCTTGTACATAATTCCCTAGGGAATATCAGGCCAATCAATAGGGAATAGGAAGAAATTATATAAAGTAGATATGGTACTTCAAAGGATGAGATATTTCATAAAGAGAAGGAGGTCAGGATGACAGGTTTTTAATAACGAAAATTACATAAATATGGTAAGGGCACCCAAAAGTAGGCTATACATTTTGCATTTTTAATTTTTTTTTTTTCTTAAAAAATGTTTATTATGACTAGTGTACTCTTTCTTTACTTTTTGGTAACTTATAATAATATAATATAAAATAAGTTTTTAAAGTTTATAATGTAAGCTAGAAGGTATTAGTAAAATTTTATAGCATACTTTTAGACAGCATTTCTATTGATTTTAAGACAGATAAATACGTTTTTGTGCTATTAACTGAATTTATATTAGTTAAAATTAAATTATTATAGTTTTAAGAGCTTACTTTAACTTTACATAATTTATTTACTCGTAGAAATGAGGTAGTTCTAAGAATATTCTATTTCAATCATAAAGATTGCTTAATATTTCTTCAAAATAAATATATTAAGCCTTTCTAAGTTATGTTAAACAAGCAACAAATGTATATTTTTAAAGGTTCTCAGTTTTCTAGTGCCATCTTTAAGCATCTAAGTAGACCTAAAAAGCAGGCCCTATGATTTTGGCCAAACGATAAGGGGAATGGCTTACAGGCCCTGCCAAGCTTTCGCTCGTCCTGTGCTCCTTCCTTCCTTCAAGCATTTCTCCATCAACGTTTCCTTGCACTTTTTTCGTTGGCATACTTTTTGGGTTATTAATGTTAAAGTTTTTGTTGCTGTTTATGCTTTTGCCGTCCTATCTGGCGTTGCTTTTATCATTAACTTTATGCAAAAAGTTTCGGTGTTGCTCTTTTTTTTGAGTGAGTTTATTTTTTGTTGTTGTTTTTTTTTTTTTGTGTTGAGAATGCTTTGCTGATGGGAGGCAGGCAGCATCATTTGCAAACGACAAATAGTTTGGCTCACCAAACTGGCCATATGGCAGGCAGGTCCATTGTGGCCATAGTGCCGTTGTTATTGCCTTTGCTGCTGCGATACTCGTACCTTTGGCACACTTCCCTAATGCATCCATCCATCCCCGTCTCTTCTTGCAGTTCAATTACCTCATGCAGTTTGATTATCTGCCCAAGTCCGACCTGGAAACGGGTGCCCTGCGCACCGAGGAGCAGCTGATAGATGCAATCCGTAGTCTCCAGGTAAGAGCAGCCATTCTTGGCTGCCGGCTGCCGGCTACCGGCTAGCGCCATTATTATGCACAATTTCACAACTAACATTACCGTCGTCTCTGTCCTCCCCCTCTCTGCAGTCTTTTGGCAACATTCCAGTTACCGGCAAAATCGACTCGGCAACGGCCCGGCTAATACAGCAACCGCGCTGCGGTGTGGGCGACAAGAAGTACGCGTATAATTTCTCACCGGATAATCTAGATCACGACGTGGTCTATACCAGGGTGCGGCGTTACGTTCTCCAGGGACCCAAGTGGAGCAAAACGGATCTAACATGGAGGTGAGTCTAGGTTTATAGATCTAAGATGGGTTTGGGAAGGTGTATATCATATATATACATGAATAATTTGCAAAACATAAGTAGATTGTCATAAAGATCATCCTCCTCTCCTGGGACTAAAAAGAAATGATTAGATTCTGTAAAATTCTCTTATTAAAAAATCTTTACTTTAATTTAAACTCTGATTTCAAGTTTTGTTTTAAATCTGTTCCCTGTACTAAAAGTGTATTGCCTCTGAATTTTTCCAATTAAATCGCGGATGCTTCAGCTCTCTTTTGCCTTCGCCCTTGGAGAACTCGAACTCGAACCCGCACCCGCATCCGAACCCGAACACTTACTCCCCCCATGCTGCTTTGCATTCCCCTTGCCCCCCGTGTGGATGTTCATTTCAATTAAACTGCATGCAGTTCATTAATTTTGCAGCGTTCATTTAGATGCGAATTTATAATTTTACAAGGAGTAGCAGCAATGTGGCTCCCCTTTTTTGTTGGATCTCTCTCCCTGTTGGATCCTGCGATCCCTCCCTCCTGTGTCCTGTGCATACGCGCTGTCAATTAATTCAAAACTCAAACGTTGCGTAGCTTGTTAATTTTTATTACGGCCATTGCACTTGCCCCCAGAATGGGATTGCATAATTTTGATGCCCGAGTGCTTGTTTTTATGTAAAACAATTCAGTGCTTTTCCAGGGCCTCAGTTTGAAGTTACTAGTTGTTGTGGCTCCCAGTTGCTGGCCAAGATGTTAATGGCCGCTGACCTCCTGGGCAGCAAAAAGTTATTCCTTAAAGCGCGGGGTGGCTCTGACGACTACCGGTGGTGGCTTTCATTAAACACTTTGCGCCAAATTGAATTTTATGATGAGCCGAAACGAAGACGCTACCAACTCACTCTCTCACTTCCGCCCTGATTGCAGCTGTCAGTTTTTAGTGTTGTATTTGATTTTTAATGTGCGCAGCTGCATAATTGCGCTTGAAATATTAAACGGGCAGTTGGCGAACTCTCATCTCATCGCCTTCGCTGATTAAGAAGCAGCTCTATCTCATTATGGAATCTTGCAATTAAATTTGCATGGCTTCGAGCGTGGCAACTGCTGCTGCTGTTGCATACTTTCAGGCGGCCCTGGGAAAGTGGAAAGCTTCCCAGGCACATTGCACATACGCCGTGTGGCACTTAAAGTTCAGCTCAGAGTCACCAGAAAGCAGCTCGCAGCTTTTAGCTCACAGCTCACACAGCTCGGTTCATCGGGGTTCATGCAGCGATAGCTATTTAATTATTTCTTGTGTCGTCTACCCTTAATTGGCCATTAAGTGGCAGGCAACCAAAAAGGGAGGGGAAAACGAACGCAGGACAATATTGCGACTAAATTAAAGCATTACGCAGGATCCAGGATCACAGCGGTGGCAGTTTGCCTCAAATTGACTTTACATGAAATATATATGTATATACTTGGGCCCAGGACGATGGGATATCAATATGTATTGACCTGCTTTTGGCCAAGCTGCATGTGTTCGCCTTAATTGCAGCACAAAGGCAAAATGAGGCAAGCTCCGCGGAGATGAGATGGAAATGGTTTTTTCTGTGTGTGTGTGTGTTCCGAAGTGTTTTTCCATTTCCGCTCAGCATGGTAAGGCACGGAAGTCGTTCTTAGCAGTTTTGTACTCATTTTGTTTTCACCGCATTTTCACGAGAGAAACACACAATGACAACATCCTGCCACAAAGTAGTCGCCATCGCAGAATTTCTTGAGATATTAACTGGTGGAATTGCTCCTTGGTTACACGGAAAGACATAAATAGAAGAAATTTTAGAGCTTCTGGGAGAAATAATTTAATATTTGATAATGTTACATCATAAGTTAAACAAAGATTGAAAGAATCTAGTGGAAATAGCCTTAAGAAATATGTAAAAAGTATCAGGAACAACTTTATCTTTTTCAGTTGTCTTGATTTAATCGATATTGTGTCTCAATCTTTGTGTTTTGACAGAAGATAAGTGCATTAAAGCTATGTATATTTATTCCAATTAAAAATGCTCATTAGTATCTTTTCAAGACTCGATTTATATAGCTAAAATCAAGAAAATGCACTTAAATTTCCTTTAGATTAACCCCATAATCCTAATATCTTTGCTTTATTTATTCTCAAACTAAAATCCCTATAATTTTCTGTGTAAACTCAAAATCAAGTGACAGCAGCAGCTTCAGCGGAAGTGACCAAAAACTTGCACTTTGCGCAATTGTTTTAAACTAAATTGGCAATTGTTGTGCAGCTGAGGAAACCAAAAACGACGGGGGAGAATCTTTGTTTGGCAAGGGCAATAGTCGTCGTAATGTGGCATTTACTTGGCTACAAGTAAAGTTTCCCCAGTTTCGGCTCCTTTGTAATGTCCCTTTTCCTTCAAATTAAATCTTTCTTAATTAATGCAGTTTTGTGTGACTCCTAAAAGGGTTGTTGCTGGGCTTTTTTCCCCTCTTAGCCTTTTTCATTTTCCATTTCCCGCTTAATGCATCGGCAAACAATTGTGTCAATAAAAGGACCTTCACACCTGTTGCTCTGTCGCTCTCCGCACTTACCTTTTGTTCTAGCTTAAATTGTTCCTCACTTCTTGATTTTTTCTAGTCTGGCTCTGGGAAATTGTTAAAAAATTCTTGAAATATTGCGAAAGGTAAAAGTTTGCCAAGGGGGGAACTGCTGCAGAGAATGCTGGCTTAATTTGCCGGCCAATTGAGTGAGTTCATTTTAGCCAGTTTAGCAGCAGTTCTCCTGCTTTCCTGGCCAACAGCTTTTTCTCTATTAGCAGCAACTTTGTAGTACTATAGTGTGGTCAAGGGCTCACCATTAATTGCCCGTTTTTGTGGCATTAATAAACCGCAGCGAATGTGCATTGCGCACTTGCCGAGCATTTGTTAGATTTTTAATAACATTAATAAAGTGCACAATGAAGTCAAAGGAGTGTGCAGATTGCGGCGTGCCGCGTACGAGTCCTTAACACGCACACATTCCGACCGGCCAAGAAGGTCTCGTCTTTCTTTGCGTTTATGCTTATTAGCGTGCATGCGAGGCATTAATACTGGGCTGCACTGAGAGAAATGTGAGGGGGGTTAGAGACGAGAGCACGTGGCGTGGCAACCTCTTAGCCGCTGCCACATAAAGAGTCGACGTGGACGTGGACGGATACTGATGCCTTGTGGCAAACGTCATAAAAACTATGCTCCGCATGTATCGGCGGGGAAAAGGACCTTGCCAAGGCGCCATCATGTTGGCCATGTTACAATGATAAAAAGTAATTTTATGACGGCCACTCTCTTACCTCTCCAACCCACAAGCCAGGGGAAAAGAAAAGAAAGAAAGGACCAGCTTGGCTGCAGCTTCACCTCGAGTTGCACTTATTGGTCTTGCTCGCAGGACATTGTGTCCTTGGTCAGCTTGCCAGTAGTGTTCCTGGTGGCAAAGCTTTTAACCAACGTTGGTCCCTAACCGGAAACACGAGCTCCACAAACTCTGGGATCAAGTTTAGATCGGTGATGAAGGGAGAGCATTTCTTTGTGTTTTAGATTTTTACTCAATTTAATCTGTGAGTTGAACTTGGATTTTGTTGGGTAAAATGTCCTTGAATATTATTTTTGTAATATATAAAATAGTAAATATAAAGCCAAGTATTTTCTATAAAGAATTATTATTATTTTCCTTATAAAGGATTTACCAATTAATTTCTGATAAATATGATTGCTTTATTTCTTCCATTTACTAGCAAAATTTTGAACCCAAAAACCAAGATTTAAATGTCGTTTGCCACAGCTGTTGCTGGCAAAAATCATTAGTGAATGCTGGCCAAATGCGGGAAGCGGAGAGGGTCTTTGGCTAAATCAATTTTGGATGGCAGCACAAACCATAACAAAATTGTGGTCAGTGGCCTGGCCAAGTTCCTGAAATGGAAGATATCGGGTTACGTTACGTCCCCCTCCCTATAATCCCCTTTATTTATAGGAGATTTTTTTTTACGATTTTTAATTTGCATAAAATAATTTGCTGATCAACGCCAGCGAACGCTTTTCCCCATCATAATTTATTCGCCAGGCGGAGTAAATCACACGCACCAGCGAAAGTGCAGGCGGGGAAGCGAGAGGCATTTAATGCCGCAAACAGAACATGGCAATAGTTTTATGCTGTTTCAGCTTCTGTTGCTGCTGCTGCTGTTGCTGCTGCTGCTGCTGCTGTTTATTTTGCAGCAGTCACTTGCAGTACTTTGTCCTTTCCATTCTCCTCTCTGCTTTCTCTCGTTGCTTTCTCCACTCCTTGATCCATTCGCAGTGCATTTTTTTTTCGGGGGGGAAGGCCAGCGGCGGCCAAGGGCTAATGGGCGTCCATTGGCCATAGTTTTCTGACTTTTCGTATGCTGTCAAGTGCTCGGCACTCGAAATTATTATCTGCCATTAATCATGGCCATAATGTTTGCCAGCTATAAAATGGAGCAAGTGCAGCCAGAACAGCAGTATGCCGGCGAAACGGACTGTACACAGTGACTGCTGGTAGTAAGCAACTAAAGGCAGACGCAGCAGACAACTTCGAGGGAAGATTGAGGAATAGGGGGTTACTAAAGGTTAATTAAATAATTAAAAAAAAATATTTATTTTAATAAATTCAAAGTGTTCTTAAAGAACTTTGCATATTCTTAAATACATTTATTAAATAATTTATTAAAAAATAAACTTTTTGAATAAACTTAGAAAATGAATATGAAATTGGTTATATAATATATTTTTTTGGAATTGGAATATCAAATAAAAAAGAAATTGAAGTGTTTATTTTTCACTTGCCTATATAAATTATCGATAATTTCGATAACGGAAAATTTGTATTAAATCTTCTTTCTTTAACCTAACCTTTTCTTTTTACAAGAATAATCTTAGAAAATTAATTTGAAATTGATTATATTATATTTTTATTGGCATGTTAATTAAAAAAGAAATTAAACGGTTTATTTTTCACTTCTCTATATAAAT